GTGGCTCGTCTTCGTTTGGAGCGTAAGGATCGTGGCCAGGTTAATAATTGGCTGGTGATGACACAGGCTGTGCTGCGATACACGCCACGCCTATTACCGCGAGCCACGCCACGCCTCGCCTCGCCACGCCGCGCGGTGCGAGCGGGGAAAGATTAGCTCTCCGTCGTTTTCCACGATTCCACCAGAATTCGCTGCGTCTCTCACCACCACCGCTGCCGACACCACTGTAGAAACATCGCCCAGAAACACTCGTTAAGAATTTCGTTGTCGAATCCATGTGTAAATCCCTCTGCTTCCCGTACGAGAGGGCTCTCCTCAACACCGCGGACGTCGTGTCGACCCACAGCCAGGAGGTAGTCTCCAGGCGCCTGCGGACTCATTCCGAGAGTCGGCTTCGTCGCTCTGTCTCCCTCGCACCTGCGGGGGAGGCCCAACGAGTGCGAGTGAGACAGAGCGACGAAAACGACTCTCGGGACGAGTCTGCCGCACACACCTCCTCTTTGATGCTCTCAGGTCGTCGTCATTGTGAGTTGTTGGTTTTGTGACGAGATCCGCCGCCACGCCTCGCCATCTCGCCTTATGCCGGCAGGTCGGCAGGTTGGCACACGGCATTGTTTTTGGCCGGATGACAATGGCTTGCTAAGTGCGGCCGGTCGACGCCAGCCAGGCACCGCGTCCAGGAGACTGACTCCGAATTCGTCGCTGCGTCTCTCTCGCGCCTGCACGGCGCGCCTCGCGAGTGCGAGAGAGACGCAGCGACGAAGAAGGCCTCTGCAGCCAGCGGCTTTTGTTCCCGCGTCATGTGGTTCACCGCCCCGACGACGCGACGCGACGCCACGCGGCCTTGCGGCCTCCACGCCGTGGCGCTAACGAAACACATTCATGCAGGGTGACCCCGTGACGAGAGCTAATTCTCGCGTCAATTCGCCACGTTACCCTTGTTATTTTTATTTTCTCCCCCTCCCTTCCGGCCGTGCTAAACGTCTGTCGGGCCCCGCGCCGTGTAGGTGTCGGCCCACAGTGGGCCAGAAGACCGGCGGCCCACTGTGCGGTCCTTGCTGAGGTCGAGTCAAGACGCGGGGCGCCTGACGAGCCCAGGGTGGGCCACCCCGCGTCCGGCCGTGCGTTGGGGTTGCCTACCCCGGGGTTCGCAGGCGCCCTCAGCATTGTTCGCAGCTCGTCTCTCTCTCTCTCTTTTTCTCTCTCCCTCTCTCTCTCTCTCTCTCTCTCTCTCTCTCTCTCTCTCTCTCTCTCTCTCTCTCCCTCACACACACACACACACACACACACACACACACACACACTAAGCAGCGCCCGTCGCTGTGCTACTTGTTCCACTTGCACATATATAGCGCTCGTCGTACTGTACCAGTTCACTGCGTCTCGCTAAGAGAAGGGGACATGCGCCCGCCTTCCGCATCGATCATTCCTATTCATTATTTCTCCTTCTTCCGAATCTTTCATGCATTCATTCATTCATTGCGCTGCACTCTGCGCCGCCGGGCTTTGTGTCCCATCCTCCATCATTTTATTGGACGGGGCATGTAAAGCAGGCCGTGGGTGCCGACTGATACGCTGGGTAAATACATTACAGTAGCGTGACGTCGATATTTATCCCCCTGAAGGCTTCCTGGTGCAACAGACTGTACCGATGCGTCCCGAAAAAATAAAATGTTCCCGCGTGAAATTAATGGTTGGGAAGATCAAAAGGGGAGCCGTTTTGCACCTTCGTTTCGCACTCTGTCCTCACGCGCCCGAAGAGCAGCCACTCTTGTCGCGCGTCATCCTGGCTGTGTGCATCGAAGTGACGCCAAGCGCCTACACTGTCGATTTCTTTTTGGGGCAAAATGTGGGTGCTGTACATTGGGCTTCACCAAAAAAAGGAAAAAGTCATCGATATTTTAATGAGTAATTTGGCTTACTGAGAAAGAGCAGAAGATTGTGAGAGAGCAGCTTTTCTCAGAGGAAATTGGTAGTGCAGAGATCCTATTTTAATGAAAGCTTGCTGACACCTTCAAGTTTCTTGTATCGCTCTCGGTGTGTTTCAAAGTGGGTAAAGGTATCATCTGCTAGAATGCGTAATTGAAAATATAATTTATTTTTCGCGTGTGTCGGCGGCGCCTCCCTGGGAACGCCGGCGTCTAAGTTTCCCTGGGCGGCCATTAGAACGAAGCGCGCTTCCCCCGCGGCTTGCCCGAGGCTCGCCTTGCCCATGGCACCGATACGGATAACCTCTGCGCTGGATTAGCGAGGCATCAAAACCATTTCCATGCGCGTGCGCGGGGCGGCAGTGTGGCGGCGCCCGTCCGGCTGCCCGCCCGGCTCCAGATGACACTCTAAGGTCACGTCAAACGCCGCCTTCGCACGGGTGCCCCGCTAATGGCGGGAACGCAGCACGACACGTCCCGCCGAGTAATTGTTATTCAAATCTCGAACGCGCACCGCGCACCGAAAAATATATGCGCCGGCATGCATTCCGAAACGCGCTCCCTGCAGCGCCATCTGGTTGGCTGTTGCACTTTTCCAATCGGTTGGGAAATTGGCGCCAGTTTTGAAATCCCTGCCACACCGCCGCCCAGTCGTTGTATTGCAAATTTCGCCTGCGCCTATTCGACATAGCTCAATCTGAACAACAGGCAAGTGTCTGGCATAACATTCCTTTTTGTAATACTGTTACCACAATTTTTGACGATTTTTTTTTAAAGTCGACTTTGCGATTTTTCCGGTTAATTGTACCCTTGAGTGTAATAATTTCGTCATTACAATATTTTGCTTTAACAACCTCTTTATGTTTGCAAAAGAGCTTTTTTTCTTACTTTATTTCAAAATTGCAGTTATTTTATTGCAAAATTTCGCAAGTTTTTTAAATTCTATTTTTAGCAAATTTTTAGCAAATTTTCAATTATTTCGGATAGCAGGGTGCAATAAACGCCCATCAAAATACGGGTTCACTTGCCGATTTAAATAATCCATCTCTGGAGTTATTGGCTCGCCGTTTGCGCCCGGCGTTTCTTCTGGCCGCGAGCCAGGCCTGTGGCAGCGTATGGCGGCCTGTAGGCCCCCGCCTGCCGATCTGTCACCGACAGACGTGTAATCAACGGAGGAGGAACAATGGTGCCACACCGTGCATCATCTCCCTGGTCGGAGTCGCGGCGCGTGTGCTGCACTGTGATATAATTCGGATGTTTGTTCGTGTGTCTGAATCCCGCCGGCCGGCGGCGGCGCCTGACTCCGAACAGCGGTGGTGTTTGTCCGGTGCACAGTGGGCCAGAGGACAGGTGGAGACGCGTGTTGAGCTGCAGAGTCTGGAGCTCAAAACGCGTCTAGAGTTTTGGCCGCCTCCACCGGTCTTCTGGCCCACTGTGCGAGGGGAACAGAGCGACGAAAGTTCGGAATGACGAGCCCGCTGCAGTGGCGGCCTTCGTGGTGTTTTGTCCGGAAGCGCACGGCCCGCCGACGGCCTGCGTGTACAGTGTGGCGGCGTGGCTGCTGACGTCGGCGGGGCCCAAACGCCTGTCGAACCAAGGATTTGACGCCAGTCGGTCGGTCAAACATGTCGTGTTCAAACACGAAACCCTGCTTCCAGTATTGATCCCTGCGTCGTCCGCTCATGTCCCGTGCTCAGCCGCCAAGTTTCTACCACCCCTACCACCACCACCACCACCACCATCATCACTGCCGCCACCACCGGCAGCGTTTCCGTGGCGCACCGCCTTGTAGTTCCCCACGTCGCCGCGGCGCGTCGCGCGTGTCGCCCTGACCTTCACGGCCGGTGCGATCACATGATTTTTCGACGCACCGGCACGGCACCGCGGCACGGCACCGCGGCACGCGGCCAGGCGCACGGCGCGCAAGGCATGACACGAATCATCCAATCCCCTTTGTCTCCGCCTTTATCGCGACTCCGTCTCGCCCGCCTCCGTCGGCCCTTTCCAGAAAGCCGGGCGCACTGGCTCGCACGTGCGCCGGCAGACCGATCACTCTGGCTCTCTCGCACTCGTGCGTTGTCCCGTGTGGACGCGAGAGAGACAGAGCGACGAGAACGACTCTCAGTGTGCCGGATTGGCCAACACTACTGCCGACGAGAATGCATGGAATGGTTTTCCCGTTCCTTCGGAGTTTTCTTCAAGTGTGCTGGAGCGTGTTTTTGCGTCGTATTGTCTTGTGCTTCAGGCGCACTAGCCAGCACCGACCCTCGATTTGAACACGGCGTTGCTTCGAAAGTGAATTTCAGCTTGTTTTTCCACAATAGTGATTAGTATGATCGGCACGGACCGGGCCCAAATACACCATGGCATACGCGACGCGGACACAATGCCATGGGAATCAGGAATAGCAGCCTGAGTCACCAGGCGCCACTCTCTATTGCTCACCCATGCCTCCCGGCTGTGCCGTGGTCTTGTCCACCTGTAGACTGATTCCGAGATTCCTTTTGATCGCTCTGTCCTTCTCTCACTCGGCAGACGTCCCGTAAAAGAGACGCAGAGCGACGAAGAGGTCTCTCGGAATCCTTTCTACAACGGCAGGCCTATTCCGCTGTGTCCCTCGCTGTCTCTCTCGGCCTCAGTGTTGTTCAGCGGCACCTGTCCCGACTGCACCTGTCGCTGTGTGCGTTGGGGTGCCTTCCCACCAGGCGCACCGGGCGAGGCGGATGGGTGGCCTGCCCACCACGGCGGCGTGCTGGTACGCTGGGTGGCCTACCCACCACGGCGTCAGAACTGTTCACGACGAGTTGTCTTCTCGCCGGGCTGCCGGCTTCTGCCCGCCCGTTGGGTGGCCTACCCACCAGGCGGCGGCCTGTGCGGTGGGCTGCCCACCCGCCCGGCGTCCCCAGCCCCGTGCGTGCCCGTTGGGCGGCCTACATAGAGGGTGCTCTGCACGTCGTGTGGGATGTTCGCCGCCTCCGCGGGTTGGCGCGCTGGCGCCTCCTAGCCGGCCAACCTGGCCCTGTTCTTGTTGTGCTGTGCGGTGCTAACGCGGAACTCCTCTGCCTGTTGCAGCCGCTGTGGCCGACCCAGCTAGCGAGAGCGACGATGTGCTCCACCTTCTTAATTCGACGGGTAAGTCCGAGACCGGAAAGCAATCCATTGGTGGGGTCACATGTTCGGTTCGAGTGCCTTTAGTGACTCTGGAGCTCAAAACCCGTCCGGGGCTTTGGCCGCCTCCACCGGTCTTCTGGCGCACTGTGGACCTTAGACGAGGTGCCGCTGGACGCCAAGCAGTGGGAGGGGAGGGACTGCGTCCACGTGGAAGGTGGAGGCCGCGGCTCCGCGCCGAGGTCAACATGTTGACGCGGCGCCTCACACCGGCGCGTTCACCACCTTTGTTTACCTCGGGGTGGTTCTTCTGCTTCAGCAGAGAATTCGAAGAGGCTGCTCACAAAGAAAGCTCACACTGCCATTTTCCGGGAAATGCCGTGCAGTCATAACACTGGCTGATTCTCAGGACTAAACGATACAAATCCATCAGAATACTGAGAAAATCGTTCGTAATATGAAGAAAGGGGTCAGCAGTTACTCAGAATACTTCACCATAGGCTGCAACCTTCATTGTGCTGCTTCCTCGAGCAGAATATGAAGTGTCGTTCCGGGACCTTCAACTGGCGTCGTCGGGACTCGCTCATGAGTCGCGCTGCTGCTGGTGATTGAAATAAAAATGGCACAGTCGGCTGTTTGTCCAGAGCGGTCATCGTCGCCAACCATCACCCTACTTAAGGCCGTTTGAGTTCTAAACCGAGTGTCTTGTGTTCCAGACGGGGAGCTGTCGGGGTTGTCGCATCTCGGTAAGTGTGCAATTTGAAGTCAGCGTCGGGTGATCAGGTTTGAAACTTGAGCTCTATCGTGTTGCACGGTACGCAGCTCCCGTATTTCGGGAACAAAATGGCGACCCGCACAGTGTCTGGGCGCTGCGTTTTTGTGGTTCTGTTTGAAAACGAACTGTTTCAAAGTGAAATGTGGCTCGAGCGTGGCCGGGCTGTCTCTGTATTTACGGCCTGGGCATTCTTTTTTTCGCGGTTCGTTCGAGAACCAGGGACCTCGAAATAGTCGGATGAACTGTACTAGGCTACACCGAGGGGACGCACCGCGCTGGTTTTCACCAGCGTGATGCCTCTGTCCACACCGCGTCCACACCCCCACACCGCGAAAAGCACTGTACGGTGTCCTCCCTTGAGACCCCCTTCCCCTTTTTTCGAATGGGGCTCGTTGCCAGCCTATTTCTACAGCATGGGACGTCGCCAAGATTAGAGAGATCATTATACCTCAGTGCCATCGTGATAAGTTGTTCCGATAATTGTCGCACCCATCTGCTGACTTTATCACCTGCCCGTCACTTACTTTGTCTCTGCACGGTCCGCCATTTTTTCTAAGGTCTGTCGGCAAGCAGAAAGAACTCCACTGCGGACCGCTAGTCTTTAGCTCGCGGGCGGGATCCGTGCACCCCCAAAAAATGTCTTCTTAGATCAAAAAAAAAATCATGTTTTTTTTTTTTTTTTTTTTTTTTTTTTAGAAAAAAATTTTGGTCTAAACTATTTTGTATGAGGAAATTTTTTCTAATCCAAACCTTTTTTCTTGTATGAAGGAAAGGCCGTCACAAGCTACGCGGACCGTCCGTCTCCTATCTAACCTAGCATAACCTCCGCAACCCTTTGTGGTTGCGACACCCTCTCACGACCAGAGAGGGAAATTTTGAAAAGCTAGTAAGTTCGCGAGGAAAAAGGAAAGAAGCTGCCAGAAAAAATGAGCCGTTTTGGCAAAGCTTGCTGCTTTGACAGCTGTCGATAGGCCGCACTGCTGGTTCAGGTCGAAGCCCATTGGCCCTTGGCAACGGCCGATGCGCCTCGTCACCCCGACCGGCACTGAAAGGCCAAGGGATCGCAAGTTCGCGACCCGGATGTGCTTTCATTTTATTTGATGCGGACCGTGTGCAAACCCTAGCAGGGGCATCGGAACCATATCGAGAGACCGTCGCTTATCGGCAGCCAGGTCAGGAGCAGGGGGCCGTCCAAAGAAAAAAGGAAGGCGTTTCAAATTTGACTCTTTGGCACTTGTGTCACTTTGAGGCCGTTTTGTGGTGGTTTGTGTAACCCGTGTGGTGCCAAGCGATCGTTTTGGCACGGGCCGCCTATGCAGGCCGCGCTGGCCGGGCGCGTGCACCGTCACGGCGGCGGCCTTGTCGCCACTGTACCGAGAGTCGTCGCGCTGCCTCTGTCGCACTCACGGGGCGTCCTCTAGGAGCGACCGAGACAGAGCAACCAGCGCCTCGCAGTGCCTCGCTGTGCCTCGCGCAGTACACTGTGAGAAAAAAGTACGGAAAAAGTACGGAACATGTCTGGTCAATAATTTGCCTGGACCGTCCGTACTTGCCAACTACGGAACGTTCCGTACCTTTTTTCCGTACCCATTTACATGGGTTCATATGGAGCAAAAACGGAACGTTCCGTACTTTTCTCCGTACCTCCGTACTATATTTTTCTGTACCATTTCCGTACAAAAGTACGGAATTTTTTACAGTGTACATGACGAAGTGCATCTGTCGTGTCACGACACTCGACGACCGGCGCGTCGCAGGCACGTCCACACTCCGTCATATTTCAGACTTTTAATTTTAAAATAAGTGTGTTCCTTTGTAAAGACAATTTTTATGAACGATTTTAACTCACTGAAATAAGCGACTACCACCTAGCGGAAAATTAAATAAATGTGTCATCTGCTTCCATTAACCTTTCCTTGAACGGGGGTTTTTAATGCGGCATTTTTATGCAACGAGGCTGAGCTTGCAAGTTGTCTCGCGGTGCCATAAACTGCCGACTGTTGTATCAAGAGGCAGGCGCGGAGTGTGGCGTGCATTACCTGCCGGGGCACCTTGGCGCTGGCGTGGAGCCCGCCGAGCCAGCTAACTGGCGGGAACTGCTTTTGCAGCCCCAGCAGCCCCGCCGCTCTGCCCGGAGGCATGTCCGGGGGGCTTCGGGGAATCTGGGGGCTCCTGGACCAAGGATCGTCAAGGAGAACCGATGTGTGTGTGTGTGGGGGGGGGGGGCGCCAAAGCGGTTGATGGACTGTATGAGTTTTGCGTGAGGACTGTGGCCGATGACGGGTTTTCTCAAGTGTGGGGGCTGTGGTTGCCACGCGCGAACCTCTTCCCCACTCTCTTTCCCTCCCGCCGCCCGGTCTTGCAGAAAACACGAATTAATTTATGTCAACAAAAATATAAATTGGGGATAATGTTGGGTTTGAAGCATCAATGTTTTGCGATCGTGTCTCCATTGACGTGTGCCGCATTTGCGGGTGAGTGCCTGCCGCCACCGCGTGCGGGCCGAGGAAATCTTTTGAATTCGCCAGTGGCACTGAATGGCAATCGGACGGAGCGGCCTTGGCGATTCGAGAACTGCTTCAGCCTTGGTTTCCAATCCGCTAGGCGATGCCGCATAGCCCAGATCCTGGTTGGAAAGCGCTGGAAAAAAAAACTTGTTCTGTTGAAATGGCCAAGTGATAAGAGATGGGAGATCGGCCAAATTTTCACTTGGCGAGCCTTTAGACTCGACTCCATTCTTGTGTGTGTGTGTGTGTGTGTGTGTGTGTGTTGGTGTGTGTGTGTGTGTGTTCGTGTGTCACCGTGGCGCTCGCCCGCTCCGCCCTGACCGTTTTCCCGTGAACCTGCCGTATCGCATTTCGGGGCGTCGGCCGCTTGGTAATCTCACCGACACGCACTTCTTGTCCTTGTGGCGGTTTTCTTTTTGTCTTCGCGCAAACGCGTCAATCTGCGGCGAAGGAAATTTTTTTTCCCCCTGTTCGGTCGTGTTTGACCTACAAGTTGGAAGTATTTTGACGTCCGTCTGCACGTGAGGGCTTAAAGTATACGCACTGACGGTGACGGGTGGTTGGCTAGGGGTGGCGAATCTCTGTCGGTGGGGCGCTGCTTCTAGTCGTCTGATGCAAGTCGTTCCTCCCACGCTACTTGCTGGCGCCATGGGGCGCGGCAGAGCGTATTCCGGCCGATGCGATAGGCGCTATCGTGAGGACACGGGGACATGCTTTATCAGTGCAGGTCGCCGCTCCCTGCCTTGCACCGCCTTGCCCTGCCTTTTCCTGACCGCCCAAACGCCACTGTCTTTGACACTACGCGCGACCGCAAGGGCCTCTGCTGCCAACGGCATCGTGACGGAGGCGGCCAAAAGCCTAGACGCGTTTTGAGCTCCAGAGTCGCTTAACAGGGCTCGAACCGCACTTGTGACCCCACCAATGGATTCCTCGTTCGAAGAGCAATCCATCGGTGGGGTCACACGTGGAGTGGAGTCCTGCTTGGCCATGCATTGTTTCGGGACTGCGACCTGCGGCCGCTGCAAAGCCTGCAAAAAGGCTCGAGGCTGCGGGACGGGCCCCAAGCCAAAGCCCAAGCCAAAGCCCCAGGTGGACATGCAAAGGAGGAAACACTCAAGGCGAGCAACGCGCCGTGCGCGCCGTGCGGCGTCGGGGTTATTTTTGGACTGCGATTGTCTCGGAGCTCCTGACCCGCCGGGCAGGCGAAAGTCGCCCAATGGCTAACCAGCGAGCAACTGCCGTTTGGACGATTCATTGCAAGCCTTCGGAACAAAAAGGAGTTTGCAGTGGCGGAGCCGGAGGCCACGACTTCCCATGGGCAGGTGTGCAGGCAACCCATGCCACCTCCTGCAATGAACTCCCTGACTTGCTACGCCACTGGTACACCAGGTCGCCGTGTGGGCGCTGAGACAGTTCGACCCCTTCATCCCGTCGGATAAGAACCCCCTTGCCCGCGAAAGCCGAAAGGCTTTTCTTTTTAATCTTTCCAGAACTTTCCCCTCGCGGCTGGGCACGGTGCTTTCTGTATCGCGGTATCGCGATGTAGAGGTCAGAGAAAGCCGCGGCCGATAACACGTCCTTCCGCCTACGCCACTGCCCGTCTTTGTTGTTGTTGTTTTGGCGCGGTTTTTTTATTCAGCAGCAGGGTGACGGGTTCGGGAGATAGACGGTCGTGTGGCCGGGAGCAGGTCTTCTGGGCAAACTGACCGCATGCATTGCACCGCGATGGACACAGGCAGAGCCGTTTTAACCTAGATCACCGCATGATAGTCTATCTCACTTTTAAAAGGCGAGAAAAAGACGCCGCCAGTTGACCCGCCAAAATCACTAGGGTAAATCCACTCTGAAATTTTCAGAGTTTCTGAGACTCTGACTTATTCCAGAGTTACAAGAGACTCTGAACCAGAGACTCACGAAATTCGCGCACCCCAGAGTTAAAAGGCCAGAGTGTAATCTAGAGTTCAGAGTCAGAGTGTTATCCAGAGTTTCTGATGTCAGAGTAATCCAGGTCGCGTTGTAGGGTGAGATAAAGTTCGACCCTTCATCGTCGGATAAGAACAGCCCTTGGCGAATGCCGGAAGGCTCCTAGGCTTTTAAAATCGAGTCCGGGGAACTTTCCCCTCTGTCCTGGGAAACGGGCAATTTTACCCGGGGATCGCGATTAAAAGGCCCCAGAAGAAAGTCCGGCCGATGACCCCGTCCTTCTCACTCTAACAAAACTTCCCGAGTTTGGTTCGTTTTGGCAGGTTTTTGAAATCAGCAGGCCAGGTAAACCGGATCGGGGAAAAATTAACTCTAATGGCCCAGAATCTTCTGGGCCAAACTTGAGCGTATTGAAATTGCCCCGCAAATCTGACACTCGAGCGAAGCCGTTTTAACTCTAAGATCACCGCATTGATAGTCTATCTCACTTTCAAAAGGCGAGAAAAAGACGCCGCAGTTGACCCGCCAAAATACTATAGTT